ATTTAAATTTAAACTTAGAAGACCGATTGGTAGTACAAACTTAGTTAATTAAATAAGTAGTATCACGAGTATGCATCTATTAATATTTTAAATAAAAAATAAATATATATATATATATATATATATATATATATCTGTTTGTAGAATTTGGGCAATGTATTAACTTTACCATTAACATTGAAAATATTTTAATGTTAATTTATAGAATTTTTAATTAGGTTTTAATCTGAAAAATTAGTAACATTTTTGTAACCTGAGTTTTTTTTATAAAAAATCTTAAAAAAATTGTATATTTCTTATCAATTTTAAAATTAAATTATTTTTCACTTTTTTGTATTCTATAGTTTTATTCTGAAGAGCAACCATGATGCTATGAGCTAATTAAATAAAGATTTGGATAACTAAAGAACAAACTGGTACAAAAAGGGATTAGAGTTCTCTTATACATCTTAAGGTAAATCCACCTTCTATTACAGTTTACATCCATGTATTGAAAAACTGTTTTGTTATATGATTAAAAATGTTACTTAAATAGAAATGTAATATATTAATTTTTTGTTATAATGTCAAATTTAACTTTACCTAATCACTATATCTCATTAGAAACTCATACTACTTACAACGTGGTCATCAGTAACCTTAATGACTAATTTTCCATCACAATGTCGATACTTCATTACCAATCGAACCTACGTGGAAAAAAATTAAATTTAAATATTACCAGTCTACATAGGGAACACAATTTCAAATACTACACTGGTACATGTACAATACACACTCACTTTGTAGTTGGTAATATATATATTATTCTTAACTTTGTTTAATGCAAACTAGTTTATTACTAGACATTTCTATTTATGTAAATAAAATATCTCTATTACAGCTTCGTAAATAGCTTTGAATGACCTACAAGTTCACCAATTCAATTTTAACCTTTTTTTTTAATGATACCAAGAAAAGAACAGGCAATTCTTACTGATTTTACAGCTCAAATAAGAAAATGTCTAACAAATCTTGGAACAGGTTGCCATGGCAACCAACAATTTCATCATGGTGCCTTTTTATTCTTGTTTAAAGTTCTGGACTCTTGGAAGATTTACTAAGTTAATACCTTTATTGCCTTATGAAAAAAGTTAAAGGAAAAAACATTTCTGAAATGAAATATTAATTTAAATTGATCAGATTCAACTTGAGACCACAAGTTGAAAGTAAATTCTATCCAATGTTAAGAGATCTTAGAAAATTTTTCTACACAAGTTATAAATGCATGATTTTTTCTTCCACATGTCTTCATGGAAACACCAAATTGTCCACAGAAAACCTAATATCATATTTTGTATTGCTCAGAGAATCTGTTTGTAATAAATATATATCAGATTTATTGTTAATTTCCAGTAAGGAAATAACAGAGAAGGTGAGGAGTAGGAAAGGTCTGGGTGCAAGTGATCATCTCTCAATTAGGGCAATAAGTCATCATGTTTTACAGCATCTGCAGATCAGGAATAAGACTTTAGTTACAAATTTCAAAAAAATATAATTATTAAGGGATACAACAAGAATTACATTCAGTGAACTGGGCAACTGAGTTAATAGGAGGTACTGATCAAATGTGGAAAACTTTAAAATACAAACTTTTAAATATTACAGATCTATATACCTTATAGAAAAGAAATGGTGGGGGCAAATAAAATACTAGGCTGGATCACAATAAGTATAAGGAATAAAAATAAAGAAAAGCATTAAAATTTAAGGCAGGAGACAGAGGTTTATAAAAGATAAAAAGAGTTTGTCAAACAGAACATTGGGCAATTTAAAAAATATATGAAAATATACTGGCTGAAATTGTAAGAATTGACAGTAGGGGTTTCTTTAACTACATTCAGGGCAAGTGAAATGTTAGGATAGATAGTAGGGCTTTTGAATGATGATAAAGGAAGACTCATTTCTGATGATTACGAGATGGTTGTATTAACCAATCTACTTTTCCTTTAGTATTTACTTGTTAACAAAAAAATTGGGAAGTTTAAAGATTACAAGTCTCCTGGACCAGTTCAGTGATCTGAACAAGATTAAAGATTGGATATTTGAGCACAAGCCAGGGAAATTATAAAAACAGTCCAGGTAATTATAAACCTATCAGTTTTAACTGAATGGTAGAAAAAAAAAGATTTTTAAAATCTGACAAAAGATACTTTGCAAATTCATTTAATAAAGTTTAAAATTTTATTTGATATTCAACATGGTTTTAGAAGGTGGAAATCTTGCCTTACTAATTTTTTGATATTCTTTAAGAGATTACTGCTTATACAGATGAGAGCAATGGTGCAGATTTGGTGTATATGGATTTTCAAAAAGCATTTGACAAGATGCTACCAAAATGCTTGTTAAAAAGCATTATATCTATAGACATTGGGGATAAATTGGCTCATTGGAATAAAAAAAATGTCTGCATGGAAAAAAAAAAGATTGTTATAAATGAATTACAGTTGAACTGGATTAATGTTTCAGTCAATGGGATTTTCCATAAGTACTAACAGCTGAACTTGGAATACCCAATCACCTGCTCAGAAGTCTTGTTGCAGTGTGGTTTGCACATAGCAAATGGCATACACCATATGTGAATATACTTGATATAGTGAAGTTTAGTCAGAAATCTTTTTAAACATGAATAAAAATTTTGACGAATGTAATTGATTACTACTATATTGTATGTATTACAATTTTATTTTTCATTTGAGCACACATTTGAGAAATTAGTCATACTTCTGAGACTCAATTTGGTGCCTGACATATTTGATAAAATGTCATATAAAATGTTTGTTAAAAAAAATTCTTTCTTCAGATGTGAGGAATAAGTTGGCTTGAAACACTGCTGATGAAACAAAACCAATCAGCAATGACGGGCAATATATTTAGTCCAGATGTCACAATTGTCATCAAACGTACACATCTAATTCTATATCTGGCAATCAAACTGAATGAGCCTGAGGTTGGGCATGTCAAGCTCACTTCCACAAAAACTCAATACTTCAAAGTAATTTCATCAGTTCCTTTCAGATCATTAGAAAATTACTGCAATGAAGAACTGCTAAAGCAGCATACAATCTTTCTAAGGAAACTTGAAAATGAAAGTTGATACCAATCACCGACCCAACCTAAAAGATCTGTTACAGTTATTCTTTGACCCGAAGGGCAATCTTACAAAATTGAAACAAGCATATGAATCCCTTTTAGAGTCCATAGTATCAGTTTTTGAAAATAATTTTGGATAAAGGAAATGCAACATCAGAATTCAGAACTGTAGTTAATGAGCCAACCCTATTGCATGCTAATCCAATAATCAAAGAAGTGATAGATTTCTATTGGAAGTCAATGAAATGTTCTTGGCATTTTTACAGGATCACTATCTTTGAGTAAATACAAAAGTGTGATAGAAGGACTTAAAGTTAAAAGTCATTTGATAAAAAAAGCCCTTGCAACTTATCTTTTACAAAAGTCTAAAAGAAACTCTGTTACTGGAAGAATATGAATTTTCATGACCTTTATTGTTTTGTTTTGCAAAGTAATGTTTTATTTTTTTGGTAGTTTAATTAACATTCTTTAAAATATATACCCAAAGGTTTTTAAATACATCCTTAACATCCAGTCCAAAAATTTTATTTTTGATATCCCTAATCAGGACAGTCTAAAACATTTAATGTAGAAAATGATTAAAATGGTTTAATGATCTTAAATTCAAAACTTTCACATACAAACTTTATACAACTCAAGGAAGGCACATCCCAATACCTTACAAAAAGAAAGAGAGGTCATTTTCAGTACAGAAAAAAATAAATAAAAAATCGTGTTAAGAGATACATATAACCTTTAAAGGAAAATGCTTAACGTGGCTTAATGATCTTAAATTAAAAACTTTCAGATTCAAATTTTGCATAATTCAAGGTGAACACATCCCAATTCTTTAGAAAAAGAATTGGACATTTCAGCCAACAATAAAAAAATCATATTATGCCATGCATACAAGTTATTTGATGTGAATTGCATCTTACAAGGAAAATGCTCTATGTAGGTGAATGAAAAATTTATTTTTCTACTGAATGACGAGAATGGCTTAATATACTCCAATCCAACACATATTTTATCAATAAAATACTACTTTGCACTTATAACCCAAACTGTAGCTAGCACCCTTCTGTATGAACCATTATAAATTGAGTTACAGAATGTGAAGTAGTGCAAGATCATTGTGACATGAACATAAAACCTATAACGTATTTTATTCATAACTTGTGAATTCTACATTTTGGGAGGGGGGTAAGTGAAAAATTGTCCTTTAGGATTTATACAAAATAACTTTTGTCTTGGCCATCCTTGAAACATTCATTAGCAGCAAGCTACAAAATTTCTGTTATCTAAGTCATCAATTCTTCTTCATTTGTCCATCATTTTATAAATGCTTTAGTGATTTTAACATGTAACTGAACATATATTTGTATTATAAAGAAATTGAAAAAATCATCACATGATCTATAAGATTCGTTCATCAGTGTTCAGTTCAATGGGCAAATGAAACAAAAAGTTGAAACAAAAACTTCGTTATTCTGATAATTATTTTCATACTTATTACAAATAATATTAATAAGCAAATATTGATTTCCTCTATGTTTTATGCACACAGTTTTGACATAATATGCCATCTGGGAGGTGTAGGCATTATTAACAGACATCACACACTGTTGATTAAACCAACATCTGCAGACAACACATATAACCTGGGTATACTTGTACTAAGGATCTCCCACACATCAGTTGCATTGCATATAGTCCAGTTGTCATCTTGATTTAATGCAAGTTCTAGCCTATGCAGAATACCATCAGCATCGATCTCATTCACTGAAATTTTACACTTGGGCAAAGCCTTTTCATAAGACAAAACTGTTTGATCATATCTGCGAATCATTTCTCTTTTAAAGTCTTGATCTTTTCCCTGTTTTTGGTTTGTATTTGAGAATAACAGAATATATCCAGGATCTTGAAAGTAAGCTGTTTATAGCTTACACTCACAAAGGTGCCAATAATAGGGCATGCATAAATCATAACTATTACTTAGTTGAGGAATATTTGTTACAGCAGTTACCTCCCAGTTTTCTAATCAGTAACATAAACCTGACATTCAGGTAATAATTTATTTGACTAAAATAAATTAAAACATAAGGCATTAAACCATCCCAAGTCCTTGGAGTTGGAGCAAATATACAGATTTAATTTGCTATTTTAAAGACAATTGATTTGCTTTTAATTTTATGGCATATTAAGAAGCCGCTTTTGCATATAAACCAAATCTAATACCAATAAAAGACCTTTAAGTTAAAGTCTAAAGAGCATGTGAAACCAAAGAATTAGAAACATCATCATAATATTAATAGCACTAGCAGAAAATTCCAGCTCTGGTAAGGCGTCATGATAGACTAGAATACAGTCGACCACAACATAACAATAAATCTAGTACAGTACTTGAACTTAAGTTAGTTAATACTCCACAGTAATACTAACTTACTAAATAATAGGTTTAATTATTAATACTCACTAACAGTAACAGTATACACTTGTTAAGCCTTATTTCTTCTGACTCACTTTCATAGGGTCTGCCAAATATATTCTTTCGGCAGCTTTTGAAAATTCTTCCCATGAAGTTATATACGTCATATTAAAGCTATGCATTAAATCAAGTTTAAAAATATACAAATTTTCCTTCAAGTTACAACTACTTCTGTAACAACATAACCACAAACGTACGTGCTACGTTAAGGAAAATTTGCTGAATGGTTAAATGTACTACTGGTTTTTACTGTACAGATCAGTAGCGTTGACACGGTGCCACGATTAAAGCGCCATATACCAAAGATAACGTCATTTATTTTCTAAAGTACACGAAAATTATTATTATTATGAACACTTATGTTACGAATTTTGTGCACAAAACGAATATATGTTTTCCTATAATTTAGCAACTGATCGATAAAAGAGTATACAAATATAAAATATCATTTATGCTATTCTATTAGAAAGGCGAGATTCTTACAAGCTTTGGAGTCTAATAATTTTATTGTCTACATAAAAATGGATATATATATTCCATCCACTTTTTTCATTTCTTCAAAAGTTACATTTGTTTGTTTCTTTTTTGAATTTCGCGCAAAGCTACACGAGGGCTATCTGCGCTATCCGTCCCTTATTTAGCAGTGTAAGACTAGATGAAAGGCAGCTAGCCATCACCACCCTCCGCCAACTTTTGGTCTACTCGTTTACCAACGAATAATGGGATTGACCATCACATTATAACGCCCCCACGGCCGAAAGGGTGAGCATGTTTCGTGGGACGGGGAATCGAACCCGCGACTCTCAGATTACGAGTGGAACGCCCTAACCACCTGGCCATGCCGGGCCAAATTACATTTAATAAATCATCAACATTTATTCATAACTGTTTACAATATGCATGTAGAATATGCTGAAATTAATGCACCATTACTCAGTGATATTGTTAATGTTGAAATGTTATTTTTGTAACTTTTTTAAGTCAACACAAGGGCATCGATGGTTCTTCAATAATTGAAAAACAAATTAAAACGATATTATGAGAAAGCAATTTGTCACCAGACAACTGTGTAATATATAAAATCTACTGCTCAATCTACTAGATGTCCCAGATTGTGTTTTTCATCTGTTGTTACGTTGTTTAAATATTCAGTTTTGCCAATATATGCTCCAGTTTTCAAAGTTTAATGATAATATATTTATCCTATTTCAAACTAAGTTTTACTTGAAGTCAACTAAGTTTTACATGAGCTATGTCACAAAAAGAATCGAGTGATGTTTTATTTATATTCATTTGTTACTTAAGTAAGTTGTTAATATTAGATATATTATTAGTGAACTGACCGAAACTGGTGTTACAAAATAATTGCTTTGTTAATGAGAGGATTGTTTGAAATAAAAACTAGTGATAAATTATATGAGACTGAATCCTTTCTTTATAAATGGATATGGCTATTATTATCTAGAAAAAAAAAAGAGTGAAAGCAACTCACTTTAGCTAACATTCGATGCCGGGAGATATCCATTACCTTTCTGAGCCATCAAGTGACTTGAAACGTTGGTAAGAGGAGTTTCTGTAGAATAGACAATGTGATCTCCCCTAGATACATAGCTAGGAAAAGTGATGCTCTTAGGAGTAACACTTTCGTTCAACAATGCACACAAGAAATGTTGGAAACTTTGCCTGATAGCGAATGACACAAATGTGAAATCATGATTCGTGTTCTCACTGATGTGCTCACAGAGACAGCTACAAAAACAGGGGGAACATGTTTGGTGGGACGGGGATTCGAACCTGCAACCCTCAGATTGCGAGTTCGAGCGCCCTAAACACCTGTCCATGCCTGGCCAAACGAAAATGGACAGTTGTATTCAATATTTAGTAACAAAGTGTTTGAATAAATAAAATTATTATTATTATATTTTATTGTGCTTGTTCAAGTTTGACTAATTGTATAGTGTAAGTCATGAAGTTACTCATATGTACTGTATATTCGATTAATTTACAATCTACATACGCCTGAAAAAGGACTGTTTTTGTGTTAAACTAAAACATTCAAACTCTATATATTTTTGTGTAAAAATGAAAAAAATGTGTACAACGACTATATTCAATTTATCATGATCAAAACAGCTTTGTTTTTACCATCAACTTTTCAATTTTATATAAGCATTTGCTCCAAAGAAATATAGTGACACTGATATTATGCCTTCTAACAGTTTGCCAAATGATTGATTTATTGTATAATACATTCAATCACCCAAGAAAATTTTTGAGATTTTCTTTTATAGAAACTAACCAAAAGTAAATATGAACGTTTACCGATTTTATGTTTTGTCGTATATAGCATCCAATATAATATCACAGCTTCTGTGATCTTATGTTTTGTCGTATATAGCATCCAATAGAATATCACAGCTTCTGTGATTTTATGTTTTGTCATATATAGCATCCAATATAATATCACAGCTTCTGTGATCTTATGTTTTGTCGTATATAGCATCCAATAGAATATCACAGCTTCTGTGATTTTATGTTTTGTCGTATATAGCATCCAATAGAATATCATAGCTTCTGTGATTTTATGTTTTGTCGTATATAGCATTCAATAGAATATCATAGCTTCTGTGATTTTATGTTTTGTCGTATATAGCATCCAATAGCATATCACAGCTTCTATGATTTTATGTTTTGTCGTATATAGCATCCAATAGAATATCACAGCTTCTGTGATTTTATGTTTTGTCGTATATAACATCCAATACAATATCACAGCTTCTGTGATTTTTGGTAGAACATTCACCAGATTAGTAAGTATAACGTTTTTGATATAAAGACTCATTCCACACATTTACAATTGACAAACTTTGTGATTTTATGGAGGAACCTAACTGATATGAGATAATCTGCTTAAAACTTACATACTAGCAGTCGCATTACCGATTCGTTTCACTTAGGAACTGATACTGTAGGGGTCACACAGATTAAATAAAGTTCATGGAGCATTCCAAGAATATTAGACATTTTGCTTCATGGTTGCTATAGTATAAGTAGCAGATATTTTGTGTGAATACATATTTAAAGTTTATTTTACGAATGTTGCACGTTCGATTATAGTATTTTTTAGAGATGACAATCATGTTTGCTTTATATGACTTAC